CCCCAAAACCCCAAAACCCCAAAACCCCAAAACCCCAAAACCCCAAAACCCCAAAACTAATAATATTTATTGAAATTAATCCTTGTAAGTCTATATTGAGCCCAAGTTGGGATCAAAGAGTATTATTAACAGCGAAAATGTTTGGGATTAGGCCTTATGGAATATCAATGACTAAGTTTTAGGAGAGATGTCTACCGTTGAGGAGCAAAAAGGGGAACAACTAGCCGATATTACTGAAGAGTAAGCTAACCTGGCTAACTCATTACAGCGATGACACAGAAGAATATGAGAACCAAGATAGGTGGAGTGACGAGCAAGTATGAGGTACAGCAACTCTTCTAGTCTTTGAGTTTGCTAGCATCATTTCCTACTCGACTTTGTAGCCAAGATTTCTTGATTTTCTGATTTTGACCGTATCTTAAATAATTATTCTGACTGAAAGATTAAGAAAAGAGTCGATTAATGGGAAATGAGAGAAAATAAGATCTCAAATTCTGACTCATTTATTTTGACTTTATCACTATCAATGACTATATCCTTCTTCATTTGTTCATTGTTTAATAATTAAATTTATCTATTAGGATCTTCAGATGGAGGACAAGAAATAGATCCAGAATTGATTGCTTTATCTCAAGAAATAATGGAAAGCATTGGGAGTGGGTATGAGATTTAAACACAATTTAGGACCAATGGGGGTACTATGAAAATAAAAGCAATTATGAGCCAATAAGTATGTCTCCTGAAGATGCCAGTGAACTTCTCAGTTACAAAACCAATATCATGATTCTTACCGGTGCTGGTCTCTCTGCTGCCAGCAGTATCCCCACTTTCAGAGGCAATGATGGACTTTGGACTAAGAAATACAAACACTGTGAGACGCCTGAGGAACTCGCCACTCTGAAGTTCTTCAAAGCACATCCTGAAGTGAAGTGGCAGTGAATCCACGACTTCTACGAGCTGTGCAAGAATGCTGAGCCTAACGCTGGTCACAAAGCCATTGTGCAGTTCCAAGAATACTGCAAGCTCAATGGAAAGCAGTGCCACTTGGTCACCCAGAACATTGACGACCTGCATGCCAGGCTGATTCGAGAGTCAGAGATCCTGAAGCCTACAGTGACAAGCGAAGGAGAACCTGGGTTCGGATTTACAGACTCTGTGTACGAAATCCATGGCAACCTGAGTTACTCAAGGTGTTCCCAAGAGTGCTCAAAAGCATTGAAGCCAGTACAGGTTCCTGACAAAGAGTAAGCATTTTGTGTAAAATTAAGGCTGAGTCTGGAAGACCAAATACCGAAATGTGAAGAGTGCAAGAGCATAATGAGACCTCATGTGTTGTGGTTTGATGAATGATACACTCAAGAACTACACAAAGTTCAGACTGTCAAAAATATCATCAACAGCAAAGTTGATGCCTTGATTATTGTAGGAACTGCTCTTGCTACCACCATGGCGAACAGACTTGTTAACGAGTGCTTAAGTCGAAAAATTCTAACTATCAATATGAATCTTGAACCCTGTTGTGACTTCGGTCCTGTAGTAGAAATCTTAGGAAAATCTGAAGAAACATTACCAAAATTATTCCAACCTTTCATACCAGTAGTCACTAAATGCAAAACCGAAGAACAGAAAAATCCCAGAAAAGCTTTCTCCCAAGAAAGAAGCTCCCACTCAAACTCTCACACCCTCCTCTCTCCCACCCCCTCTCCCCCACCTCTCAGCCCCAAAGCCTCCCACTCAGACCTCCAAATTTCCTCCATCCCTAAATCTCCCTAAAATCTTCCTTTAAAAACACCCTGAAAATTTCTTTTTTCCCTCAAAATTTTAATTTTTCAAAATTTCTTCTGGGTTAGGGGTTTTGGGGTTTTGGGGTTTTGGGGTTTTGGGG